TTTGCATTAGCTTGGATAGATGAAGTAAGGGCTTGCATTCTTGCATTCTGAATCACGCCAGGAGATCCCTTCGTAGATTTTCAAATTTTCCATTGCACATAGTTCCATAAACTAATAAATAATTTTCATTCTATTGCAAGTTAGGCTATTGTTTCTTCCATTTGCCTTGACCCCTAAAGTGCATGGAATGATCAAAATGTTACGCTTTAAGAAGTTGAATGATCTTTTAGGATGAAAAAAAGTTTAGTAAACAAATTATGCAATTTTAAATAATTTAGCAACCTTTTGCGCCAAATGAAAGTATAAAAAGTAGGATGAGTCTTGGCAATAAGAAGTGTAAGTATAAGCAAATTTTGATTTTAATTTTTGTTATGCCTAAAGTACCCCGATGTCCTTTAATTAGAATTATTGCATTTCAATCATGACACTAGTAAGAAAAATAAAAGTTTTCATAACTTACAACTCAAAAATATTGGTAATTCAAAATTAAAAATTGCCTATTTACAACTATATTCACCGATCATTTTCTTCATCTCCAATTATTGTATGTGTTAAAAGTATCTCCAATTATTATATTCTTATGCGTAATAGTTAAAGCTAACTATATTTTGTATACATATTGGTTTAGAAGAATATCACGATTAATAACAAGACAAAAGTTTATAAATAGTTAATGAGAAAATAAAAGGTTAAATTGATGATTAAATTCACTATATTATGTCTTATTGACTAAGAAAATTTCAAAAAAAAAAATATCGCTAATTATGAAAAAAAAATATAGTAGAAAAGGTTTACAACTACTGAAATTGATAAAAATTTATTATATCCAATCATAATATTTTATTTTATATTTTGCTCAGATTTTGTTATATACACTAATTTGACACAATATAGAATATTTCCTCTTTTTACTGTCACAATCCAAGTAAAATTTGCAACAACTTAGTTTAGATATGATAATCTTCCATCTTCAAAGTTCAATAAACGTTTAATTGTTTTGTATATAATAAACATTTTCTACAACTAGCAATTGGTTAATTATATTTATTATACGGTTTCATAATCAATATTATTGAGTCTGTTTTTGTATTTCACATCGGATGTTTACAAAGAAATTTCTCCTTGTGGTGGTTATAAATATAATAGGTTTGAATGAATTTAAGTGTGCTAAGGGCACCAGTCTAAATGCTGTATGCACCAATCCAAGAGAATTTTAAGGGGCCCACTAGGGGTGGCAATTCGGGTCCAAATCAGGTTGGCGGGTCAGGTTCGGGTCAACCCGCTAGAAAATCTGTTGACCCGAACCGACCCGCCAACCCGTGACGGGTCAGGTATGCTGACCCGAACCCGAAAATTTCAGGTTGACGGGTTGGCGGGTAGACCCGAAATGACCCGAAACTTAATTTTAATTTATTAATTTATCACTGTAATTTCTAATAAAATCAATTTCTCACAAAACTAATTACATAATCAAGTAATAAAAATTTATATAAGTAATTCCAAACCAAATCTAAAATAAATTAAACACCGTAAAAGTGTTTTATCCCAAACAAAATATAAAATAAATTAAAACAGTATAAAAGTAAAAAATAATATAATATATTATTTGTCCAAATATAATAATTTCAACTTCACACAAATTAAATAAATTCATTTATGATTAAGTAATTAATGCCTTTGAAAAAAAGAATAACTTAGGTTAGTTAGATAAAATTATTTTTATATTTATTAAATTATTTTTAATTCGTAAACGGGTCATATCGGGTCATATCAGGTCACCACGGGTTGACCCGAAATCGACCTGTTTTCTTTTCGGGTTCATCGGGTCCAACCCGATTCTGACCCGAATTCCCAAAACCTCAACCCAAACCCATTAATTTCGTGTTAGGTTCGTGTCGTGTTTTCAGGTCGTGTCGAAAATTGCCACCCCTAGGGCCCACCCACGCACCAGTTTGAGAGCATCAAACCAAAAGAATAAGTTATGGGCCTTTGGACCATTAAACATTTTGTGTTATTTAGACTCTTTTACATTTTTAGTTTTAGGTGCTTTTTGGGTTTAGGAATTATTTTCTAGAATTTTATACTTTTTCTTTTGTACTCCCTTCCTGTTATGGTAAATATGCTACCATCGGACAAAACCATGTAAAATTTTGTCTCTCTATTTGATTTATTTGTTCTGTTATTGTCATTATTGAGTTGTTAAGAATCCTATTATTCTCATTTGTCAATTTTTTGGAATCAGACCTAACAAATATTATACCAACAACTTAGTTTAAATACGATAATTTTTCATTTTTAGAGTTTTCATAACTATAGAATGCACAATAAACTTTTAAATGTTTTATACACAATACAATTACCAATTACTTAATTTTGTTCATTATATAGTTTCTTTGTTTGCAGAAAATTTTATTATATTAAAAGTTTTGTATCTTAGAAAAATATATTAGCGTGCAAACCACGTAAGTTATTACTAGTAGAAAATAAAAGGACAACCCAATGGATTTGGATCAAATTGCCAATCTTGCTTGGTAGCTATGGCCTTGTTTGGATTGCCTGTTTCCGTCGAAAAATATTATCGTTTTCCGTGATCACATTTCCCTATCACCTTTTTCCCTCACATATATCAAATCACTACAGTAATTTTTTCATAAAAAATGACGGAAAATGCAGTCCAAACACAACCCATGGCTTCTATGAGTTGTCACCTCATGAAATTGGCTCAATCTCAGTGAATAACCAACATCAGTTACATCATAGGGCAATGACTTGACTCAAGACAAGAGTCATGAAATTTTTCTCTTGAGAAATTAAAAGGAACTATCCAACGGGTTTGCACCAAATTGTCCTTCTACCAGTTGTTACTTCATGAAACCTGGCTGGTTCTCACTGAATAGCCAGCATCATAGGGCAACGACGACTTGGACTTGACTCAAGAGTTGGGAAATTTATGTTCTCATGAACTTTTTATTCTCCTTAAGTGGCGAATTGTCATTTAAGTATACTTCGACGATTCCAACACTACAAGTAGCAGCACTAGGTTCTATTAACGCCCCCCCCCCCCCAATCACCACCACCACCACCACCACCACCACCACCGACCTTTTGTTCAGCGTGTTATTTTGTTGATAGTAGGAGTGTCATATAATTAAGGAAAAATTGCGGACACTTCACGTAAGGTTTGTGATATAATTAAGGAAAATCAAGAAAATAAAGAAACTTTATTTTCATGCAATCGGAGGAATTTCAGCCCAGAACAAGAAATGAGAGAGAACAGTTTCCAGGAAGTGGGATAAAAAGGTTCGAGCCCAATGCAGTCCTAGAAGGACAGCAATCATGCAACCTTTGAGCCACGTTTCCCACGCAACATTGGACCTATAAGTAGAGGATTTGTGATTTTTGCTCAATCCCCTCAAAATTTTCGTGAATCTTCTGTGAAAGCATTAATTAATAAAGGGAAAAAAAAATCATTTCTGACGATCATGTCTGACGATCGAATCTATTAGCTTGTAACAATATGATCAAATTCACTCCATTCATTGTGTTATACTTCCTCCGTTCCACTTTGATAGTCCTGTTTTCCTTTTTCGTCTGTCCCAAATTGTAGTCCACTTTCCAATTAAAGAATGTAGTTGTATTTTAATTTTTCTAAAATACCCTTATTCAATGTAAGTTGTTGTTACTATAAACCTACCTCATTTAATGAGAGTTGATTCTTGTTTTACCATTAATTCAAGTTCCCATAAAGTTGTACCATATTTAATGTAAGGGTATTTTAGGAAAATAGCAATCTAAATTTACTTTTCCAACAAAGTTAACTATTTTTTCTTAAATTGTGTGAAAAAAGAAACAGGACTATCAAAGTGGGACGGAGGGAGTAATTTGTTTCTTTGATAGGTAGGATTGGTCTTGATTATCACGCAAGAGTATATTCAAATGTAAGCTGTTTTGAGAGTGAGCGAAAAGCTCTTCTCGAGTTTAAGGAAAGTCTAGTATTCTAGTACAAGGCTCGAGAACTTTTTTTTTTTTTAATCATTACCTAATTTATTTTTGCTTTGCTCAAGATATTTCATGGTTCTTTTGAGCACACCAACATCGTCACTAATAAAGCAATAATGTGAACTTATACTAAATTTTCCAAAAAAAATATGGCTAAATTAAATTGTTCTGTTCGTTCAATTTGGATTAATTTGATCTGGGATTTAATCGAGGGCCCTCATCGCTTGGATCTTTCAGACTACCAGAGGAGAATTTTTGCACGCAGAGCAAGGTAAGTCGAAAGCAACAAGTGTTTGAGATTAACGGGGTGTAGAGCAGAAGACTTAAGAATCAAATGTCAATCACCTTCTGACGCATTCAAGGCAGATAAGAACCTTCACAAGCTTCCTGAACCATCTCTATCATCACGAGTTTCCTGAACAAGTTTCTTTGTTTTCAACCAAAGAAAAGAAATCACACACACCATGTTTTGCAGAAGCATAAGAATTTCAGATGTTATCTGCCTTAGGTAGTAGATCATTTGCTGATTTTCCTTCGACAAAGTGGTTGCTACACTAAGGGCCAATTAATTTGTAAAATATCAAGTTGTTGATTGTTAATTCAGTGCATGATGTAAGAAACATCATCCCATTCTTCATCAGCTTGAAAGATGTTATTCTGTATGATTGCAGTTGACATGGTCTAACTTAGTTGCTTCTTGTAAATTATTGCAGCTAATTCGTCAAGTGCTTATCCCAATTGAATGGATTGAAATTGTTAAACGCAAAGACCATGGCAAGCAGCACCCTGTTAGTGTCAACTAATTAATAATTATAACACTATTGACAGAAAATTGAGGAATACAAGTCATCGGCATCTTATTGCACAGTAATTCTCCAATTCCTATATACATAACAGTACCATTGAGGAAGTTGTCACAACCACTACCCCTTCAAACACAACTTTATTCCCAGTTGAATCAGTCAGTTCATTGCAGATTATTTCTCTTTGCCTTCAAGAGAATGGAGTTTGGAAACCACACTTCTTTGAGATTTTTGTTATCATCAGTAAATGTTTTGCTCTTCGTCATTGTTGCCATGAATTTATCACCAAATGCTTCAGCTGCAAGATTTTTGTCTAATGAGACTGATCAGATTGCTCTCTTGGAATTCAAAAATAAGATATCTGATCCAAATGGAGTTCTGAACTCATGGAACCATTCACTTCACCATTGCCAATGGCCAGGAATCACATGTGATGCTCGCCATCAAAGGGTCACAATCTTAAATTTACCAGGTAAAAGCTTGTTTGGAACCATATCTCCTCATGTAGGAAATCTCAGCTTTTTGAAGTTTTTCAATCTCGAGGAAAACCAATTCCATGGTGACATTCCCCAAGAGGTTGGTCGCCTGCTCCGGTTAAGATTTCTTAACCTGTCAAGTAACATCTTGACGGGAGAAATTCCAGTTAATCTGAGTCATTGTTCAGAGCTCAGGGCCCTAAGCCTGATCCGGAACAAATTAGAAGGAAGAATCTCAACTGAGTTGGGCTCTTTAAAGAAGCTTGAGACCCTCCAGCTTGCTGTAAATAATTTGACAGGGGAAATTCCTTCTACAATTGGGAACCTATCCTCAATCAAGCAATTATCCTTCACCTTTAACAATTTGGAGGGAAATCTTCCAGAGGAGATAAGCTTATTAACCACCTTGTTTTTCCTAGCAATGGGATCAAATAAGCTAACAGGTCAAATACCTTCATCCATGTATAATATCTCTACACTCACTTTCTTTACTGCACCAGATAATTTTCTTTATGGGAGCCTTCCAACCAACCTAGGTCTCAAGCTACCGAATCTTCAGATAATAGGTATTGCTGGAAACCGCTTCTCTGGAAAAATACCTGTTTCAATTACCAATTGTACTAAGCTTGAAGTAATTGATCTTGGTGATAATAAATTTGAAGGCCATGTTCCATACAACCTTGGATATTTGCTGAATCTTAGAATTCTGAGTCTGCAAGGAAATCTCTTGGGTAGCAATTCAGCCGGTGATCTAAACTTTCTTGTACCTTTGACAAACTGCAGCAATTTAGAAATACTCTCTTTGGCTAAAAATAACTTTGGTGGTGAATTGCCTAATATTCTTCATAATCTCTCATATCAGTTGACGCATTTATACCTATCAGAGAACAAGATATCAGGAGCCTTTCCATCCGGAATTGAAAATCTTGTACATTTGTATATACTGTCCCTGGCAAATAATTTATTTACAGGTGTCTTACCAAGTGATGTTGGCAAACTTCAGAAACTGGAGGTAATGGTTCTTGACAGGAATATGCTTTCAGGACAGGTACCATCAACCCTCTGCAACATAACCAATCTATATGTTCTGAACTTGTCCAGCAACAACTTCCAAGGTGACGTTACTCATAGTCTTCGGAACTGTCAAAGTCTACAAATGCTGTTTATTTCACAAAACAACTTCAGTGGAAGTGTATCCCCTCAGATCTTTGGGTCATACATATCGCCCACAATTCTAGATTTATCACACAACTCATTGAGTGGTTCCCTACCCCTTGAAGTAGGAAAATTGGAAAACATTCAACGGCTAGTTGTCTCCAGCAACAAATTTTCCGGAGAAGTTCCTTCAACACTTGGAGATTGTTCAAGCATGCAGTACCTTGATATGCAGAGCAACCTTTTCAATGGAACACTTCCACCAGCTTTGGCTTCTTTGAAGGGCATCCAGTTTTTGGACCTTTCACATAACAACTTCAGTGGGCAAATACCAAGAGACATAAACAGGTTGGTGTTTCTGAAGTTTCTGGATATTTCTTATAATGACCTTGAAGGTGAAATACCAACTGATGGAGTTTTTACAAATGCAAGCCAAATAAGATTGGTAGGAAACAGTAAACTTTGCGGAGGCATTCCTGAGCTGCAACTACCATCTTGTCTTGTCAAAAGAAAGAAGAAAGGAAAACGTCTGCTAGTACTAGTTATTCCCCTGGTCCTCATAGTAATACTAGTAATTTCTGTCACATTCTTTTTGTATCATGTTTTACATAAAAAAAGAGATAAATCTGTGAAAGAGTCCTTGATGATGCCCTCAGATCCGATTGAGAAGATATTAAGAATTTCTTATCATGAACTCTACCGTGCTACGGAAGGATTTTCATCCACCAACTTAATTGGATCAGGAAGCTTTGGAGTTGTGTACAAAGGAAAGTTAGATCAACACCAAGACAAGGAAGTTGCTGTAAAAGTTCTTGACCTTCAAAAAAATGGGGCTTCCAAAAGTTTTGAGGCTGAGTGCAAAGCATTGAGAAGCATTCGCCATAGAAATCTTCTCTCGCTCTTAACTTATTGCTCAAGCATTGATACCAAGGGTAATGAATTCAAGGCACTAGTCTACGAATACATGCAAAATGGAAGTCTCGACATGTGGTTACATTCAGAATTAGCAGAAGCAACTAGATCAACAAATCTAGACCTTCTTCAGAGGATAAATATTGCAGTTAATGTGGCTTCTGGTTTGGATTATCTTCACAACCACTATGAAGTTACTATTGTTCATTGTGATCTGAAACCAAGTAACATTCTTCTTGACAATGACCTTATAGCTCATGTGGGTGACTTTGGATTAGCAAAGCTTCTTCCTAGAACTGCTGACATTGATTCTGAGCAAGAAACTACCAGCAGTGCTGTTGCACTAAAAGGATCCATCGGATATGCAGCTCCAGGTAACAATTTTGCAATAGCTAGAGTAAATGCATTATATATTCTCTAAATATTCATGGTACAAAAAACACAATTATCCATTTTATCCTGTATCAAAAAAGAATTATTATGTTTAATAGCTACTTTTTGAAAATAATTTCTAATTAAAACTAGTAAAATAAAGCCATAGTAAATATAAAACTTGACTCTGTTTGGTGCACTATTCGCGTTATGACTGAGAAGTAGAAGCGTATTCAAGAAAATCTCTAACTAACTTTGGAGGGTTAAACGTTCATAGAAACTCCAAAAGCCCTCATCTCTCTGAGTACAAAAGGAAAATTAATCTGCTCAACCTTGGGGAGGATTCCCCTTCGCTGGCTCCACATAAAGGCAGCAATTTGCTTTGTCCTAAATGATTCGTTTTGATTTTCTTTTAAGTTTACAAAAATCCCTAAAATTGAAAAAAAAAATCTGCCATGTTTTTCTCGGATTGCAATTACATTGTTGAGAAAACAATACTTCAGAGCATGGGATGGGGCGGCAAGTATCAACTGAAGGAGATGTCTACAGTTTTGGGATCCTCTTGTTAGAGATGTTCACAGGAAGGAGGCCAACAGATGATGCATTTGTGGATGGCTTGGATTTACATAACTACGTCAAGATGGCTTTGCCAGAGCAAGTTTTGAAGATTGTGGACCCTTTACTACTTTCCAGCGAAGCAGAAGAAAATAAAGTCGTGCTGCAAGCTGCTTCAGAAGATGAGGAAACAAATCATGGTAAAAGAGCAGTGGAAATGAATGATGGAGACATTGAGAGTTCCTCAGATGAAACAAACAACGTGCAAAAATGCCTGATTTTGATCCTTAAAGTTGGACTTGGATGTTCTCAAAAATCACCAATGGATCGTATAGACATGAAGGAAGTCACAAGAGAATTACATTTCATCAGAGATGCCTATCTTGGAGTTAGAAATCGATGAGCAAAGCAGATTTGAAGAACCTGTTTATTATAGAGTTGTTGCATTTGGTTCTTCTAGGATCAAAGTAGGTAATATTTCAATGTTTCGATGAATCTGGAGAATTTCTCAAATCTAGCCTTCAAGAACCTGCAATCAGAAGTAATTGGAGCAAAATGATGATGGAAAGGATTAGAGCTTTGAATTAGAGAGGTAAACAATGTAGTATACGAGTGAATGAGCCTTAAGAGTATGTTTCTGTACCGTATATTTTTCATGTGAACTGCAGATAATGAAAATTTAACTGCCTGTAGAGAATTATATTGCTCTTTTGTGCATCTAAGTGGATTTGGTTTCTTAACTTCCAGGTTCAGGACTTTTAGTCATTTACAGTTCTGACAACGTGCAGTCCAATAAGAGCTTCAGTACTAGAATTCAAACGTTTATCCTTTTTATAATACATTGCATTGATGCATTATCTGCTAGAGATACTTTAAGCTTCCATAATATATATTACATACATAGTTGAATAATCTGGTTTAGATTCTAGAAAGAGTTTCCCGAGTACAATAATCTTGCAGAGAACCTCCTTCAAGGCTTTAAGACCGACAACCATACAGACTTATCACTGTTCTACACATATTACAGAATTGTTCCAAAAAGTTTCACAACCATCACATAAAGCCATGGTACAAGAATACATGGTAAGTGCATTCGCAAGCCTGTTATTTTTTCCCGAACGAACCAAAAAGCCTTTAAACCACTAGGAAATGCCTAGCAGTACTATCTAATCACTAAATAAGACCTCAATCAATGCAACAAAACAGGGCAAATGCTTAGTTAGATGTGTATAATTGGTATTTGAGCACCACTCGGCTTAGCCAAATAGCAAAGATCCCCCCAAGCCTGCAAAGATCATTGAGTAAAAGTTTTTGATCAGTCCTGGTATGATTTGTCCCGGCAAAGACCCCCCAAGTATAATTTTTTAACTAACAACAAGAGCTGACCAAACCTGCTGGACGATATAAAATGACACCTTTATTTTATGTCACGAATAGTTTGCAGGAATGAAGGCAAAACACCTGCAAATTCCAAAGAGAAAAAGTGAGAAATATAAAAACTGGAAACCTATCCACCCGTGCAATAATAAAGGATCAAACATGCGAACTTTTACGAGGATGGAAGAGGAGGAGGGAGTCAGAGTAGAAATTGAGTCCGCATAAGTTGAAACTTACGTTCGCATTGTGACTCTACCGTGTTGGTTTCTGTCATGTGACTTTCGCATAAGTGATCGAATGAAGTGGAAACTGGGAAGCTGCAGTTGCCTTTCCAAATCCCATTTGCCTACACAATTACTAGTACTTTCTATAATTCAAGAAGACCCTGTTAGGCCTTCGCTCTTATGGATCGTCCTGGTTTGATCCTGATAATTTTCTCAAATTCGTCAGCTCTAGCAGTGTCCATCCATATTCCCAATTCTAAGTTGTAACCAGTACTATTTTTTATTTTCTAGTACAGTAAGCTTACTACCTATTTTTCTATACAACCCACTACTTAAATTTGGCTAGCATTTGCAAAGAAAAAGGATCGTAACATAGAGATAATCAGAACAAAGACTAGCAGTCACTGGCGGATCCAGAGCTTAGGATTTGGGGGAGATTTATGAAGATGTATACTTAAGGGGCATTCTTACATTTTTGTAAAAAAATTTGGGGGGACAAAGTATAATATTCACAGGGATATAAGTGAAATTTTTAGTACATCAAAGGGCGACCAAATGACTTTCAAAATCTTAAAGAGTCAAATCCTAATTTCTACGAAGATCTATGTGAAACATTTACAAATTTCAAAGGGAATACAGAGGAATTTGTAAAATCTTGGCGAGGGGACGGGTTCCCGCCGCAACCCCCCCACTCCCCGTTGCTAGGCTGCTAGCAGTGTTCGCGTGCTGGTGTATTGCATGAACCCTAAGAGGAAGGAAGATCGGAGTAGAGCTCTTGTGCTGCTCTTAGCAAACAATTATATGTTTGCAACACCATTGCTAGAAAAAAGAAGGAAAGTGAATGCCTATGTAACTACTAATTTATAGGTGGCATTTCTCCACTGTTTCTCAACTCTTTAATTGAGAATTGATTCAAACGAAATTCATCTAATTAATTGGAGATTCTAAGGTCCTTCTTTAAGTACTGTACCCTCGAGTTAAATTCATCGTTGAATGGTAAAATAAGTATTTTTTTTACCTTAAATTACAATAATTTCATTTATTTAAAATATGTAGCAGTATGAATGAAAACATGCCTTCCTACATTGTAGATGCCTCGCATAAGGATCAGGCTTATCTCAACGGACATAAAAAAGAAAAAAGTGTTTTCTACCAAAAAAGAATATGTAACACTATCATTATTAAGGGAATTTTTTCTAAAGGCAGCATAAAATTCTCCTAATCAATTGATTGTAAGTTAGTAACACCTACTTACCTTGCTAACAATTAAGCATTAATTTTGGGTTCATTGTTAACATCTACATATTATTCCTACTTTTAACTTATTCTAGGGGAGGACTTTACTGGTCAATTTAGGATTGTAATCGAGTCGAGTCAAGCTCGAGTATCGCCATACTCGAGCTCGACTCGACATACAAAAAAGGTGCTCGAGCTCGAGCGAGTAGTATTATTGGAACTCGAGCTCGAAGCTTGCTCGCAATACCATACTCGAGCTCGACTCGACATACAAAAAAGGTGCTCGAGCTCGAGCGAGTAGTATTATTGGAGCTCGAGCTCGAAGCTTGCTCGCAATACTCTAGCTCGACTTGCATGGGCTCGAGTCAATAGAGCCTTATCGAGTTCGGTCGAGCTTGAGTTACTAAATTTCATTTTCTTAATAATTTTTGTGAGAAAAGACATTATTGCCCTTTTAAAATTTTTATACGATTTGAAACATTTCGTAAATTCAACAACTCTTCTGGGTATAAGAGTAATTTTATATTAATAATATATTAAATAATTAAAATTAAAAGGCTCGATAAGGCTCAACGAGCCTTCGAGCAACACTTTTGGATGCTCGAACTCGACTCATTTAGCTTATTGAGCCGCTCGAACTCGACCCGAGTTCGAGTTCGAGTCATAGGAGGTTAAACACATTTTTTGTTTTTTGGATCAATCATCAATATCTACATGCTACTATTGTTTTTACTTATCCTATGGGAGGGTTTTAAATTATTATATTATTATATTAATATAATTATTGTGCAACTCGCGGTTGAACCACTCAATCCATGACTGAACATGTGATCCAGTCACTTTTCCAGATTGAGTTCCAGACTGGGTTTAATAACTATGGTGTGAACTCCTAACGAGCAACTATGACTACATTTGAAGCTTTACCTAGTGGTTAACTCTCTAAGGCTAGCTGGTTTTCACAATTAAGCACTTGGAAAGCCAAACATTATTGCATGAAAGACTAGAAATCAGATCGAGGGACTCTGTGGTCAAGTAATAACTAATAAGCCTAGGAACTCGGGACTCTAATAGAAGCTTTCTCGAAAATTCTTGGATTGATCAGTGTAGTTTTGTGATGCCTTATTAGGAGCTGTGTTTTAAACTCGGACTAGATCAGCGGGTTCAATTGGTTGAACCGAAAATCGGGTAGGCATTCGGTTCAAGTTGTCTTAAAAAATAGTGAAACAAAAACTCGGTCAAACTCGAACCGGAAACTTGAAGAACAGTTTCGAATCGGGTTTTTTTCCATCTTTTCCTTTTTGACCTTTTTGTTTTCCTTTTTTTGATTCTTTCTTTTAGCTACTCCCAAATCTCTTCACATATCCTACCATAAATATTTCTCAAACAACTCCAATGGAAGATCTAAGTTAAAAAAGAGATAAAACATTAAAAAAAGAAAGTAAAAAAATTCACCTAGAAATATTTTATCAATTTTATGATTTGACCCCTAGAGTACTAGAAAACTATTATTACACCTAGAAACATTTTAGAATTTATAGCTATAGCCCTAAATTCTTGTATTACTTTTCAAATAAGCCCTCCAATTTGGTTCTAAACTTGTTGAATATGCATTAAATTATAAATTACATAAATTGCTACCTAATTATACTACATTATTTTTATTTTCTTATAAAGTATTTTAGAAACATCAAACATACATTGAACCTACATTTCTTTGTATTAATATGTTTTAGAAATTTTATATAATATATTAATTTTTAAAATTAAATATATTTATGACATCATAATGATATCATCCGATTCTTGAATGGGTTTGCCTGACCCTGACAGCAGCCGAGTCGATGGCCGGTTCGAGTTTCAAAACATTGATTAAGAGTAAGAAAAGGATAGATCATAGGCTCCGTGCTATAGATGTCCCTAGCAACCCTATTCCTTGAACTTGCCCTTTAACTAGATAGACTCTCCGGTGGAAATTAAAGGTGCCAGGACCAAAACAGATAAAAAGTAGAAGTTAGAGAAGTCGGGGGAAAAGTCGTTGTGTAGGGTTTCATTTCGTTGTTGATTGTCCCCAGTAATTTTTAGACTTAATTGCATGTTGCCCCCACTAATGCGGATTAAAGTAGCAATTGCCCCTTGTGTAATCAGAAACGTACACATTGCCATCTGGTGATAAATGGTCAGACATTTTGATTAGACTTTAAGGTTAAGAGGTGTGAAAAGAGAATCATGTCCTCAGGTATACAATTGGATAATTTATTTGAGATAATTACTATAGTACTTTTTGTGATATGATGCACGTAAGATAAAAAGGTGATTGAAATTTGTGAAGCAAATTATTTATTTCAAATCATCTCAATCTAAACACACCCAATGTTTTGAGAATTTTATTCTGGGAAAATCGTGTTGCTATACATTTTTAAGTACACATAATTTACACCAATCTTATCATATGAACACATACATTCACATTTATAGCATCCCTTGCATTTAAATTCTTTTTCAAATTAATAACACTCTTACCAACAAACTAATAGTTGATGCTTCTCTTGTCGAGTGCCCACTAAGC